TTTTACCCAAAATTACAAAAATATTCACCAAATTAGAGAATTGAAGATATCATTACAAAATGAACAAATCTGAGAGAGGTCCACATGTAGTACTTATATATGTAATATCAAAGCAATTAGACTTGCGGTTTTCAACAAGAAGTCGAAAATATCACTTTTTACCAAAAATGACAAAAATATTCACCAAAATTAGAGAATTAAAGATATCATTACAAAATGAACAAATCTGAGAGAGGTCCACATGTAGTACCTATATATGTAATATCAAAGCAATTGCACTTGCGGTTTTCAACAAGAAGTCGAAAATATCACTTTTTACTAAAAATGACAAAAATATTCACCAAAATTAGAGAATTGAAGATATCATCATGAAATGAACAAATCTGAGAGAGGTCTACCCAAGGTACATATACACCAAGTATCAAAGCATTCAGGCTTGTAGTTTTCAAGAAGAAGTCGAAAAAGTAAAACATTGACACGGACGACGACGACGGAGACGGACAATCACTCATATGATAAGCTCCGCTCGACAAAGTCGACAGCGGAGCTAACAAATCTGAGAGAGGTCCACATGTAGTAGCTATATATGTAATATCAAAGCAATTGCACTTGCGGTTTTTAACAAGAAGTCGAAAATATCACTTTTTACCAAAAATGACAAAAATATTCACCAAAATTAGAGAATTGAAGATATCAACATGAAATGAACAAACCTAAGAGAGGTCTACCCAAGGTACATATACACCAAGTATCAAAGCATTCAGGCTTGTAGTTTTCAAGAAGAAGTCGAAAAAGTAAAACATTGACACGGACGGCGGACAATCACTCATATGATAAGCTCCGCTCGACAAAGTCGACAGCGGAGCTAATAAAAAGAGAACTACCGTTTCTGCTTTAATATACATTTTTATAGACTTGCTGACTGTTATGATTCAGAACGCGCTGCCCTGAAGGCAGAAAGCTGTCACAGCTATTTTGCGTTCACTCGCAATTAACATTTTTTATAAGTATCACGACAGTCTTCAAGAAAGTCAACTGTTAATACAACCACAGTCAACGAATAGAAAATAGTTTTTTTGTGTAGAAAAAGACCCCCTGGGCGTGTGCCCGGATATGACCTCAACTCCTTTATTGTGTCAAAAGTGGGGGGTGGGCGTTTGCCCAGGCATGGGCTCGGATAAGTACGGTATTTCTGTTGTCTGTCTGTTGTTTCTATGTAATCAACAGGAATAGTATTAATTATAGTTGTATATGTATATTGTTTCCATGTATTTAACATGAAATTAATAATTATAATTGTCTATTGCTATGTTCACACGGCAGCATTCTACCAGAGCCGAACTGCTGCTGCTCCTTCTCCCACAGATTAACAGGAGACTATCTCCAATGTGTTCATACGGTCGAGAGACTAACGAGAGCCAAAATCTGTCATAGTTCGTTTCAGTTTGATCAGAGCCGAACCAAAGAGTGCCTTCAAATAATTACATGTAGTATGAAAAAAACATAGATGAAAATGATGCTGGTGTCGTGCTTGTATTGTTTCTTTACATGGCACGATGCTGTTGAGCCGGGGGCAAAAAAAGAAACAATCACGAGTCTGAGCATGAAGGTAGAAAAGACAATGCACTGGTGTTATGATTTAACTACTAGTTCCACTATCTCCAATAAACAGGAAACACGGCAGCTACATGTAAAATGTGTTACAGCCTATTCGCTTAAGTTATTGTTATACTGTTGTGATATGTGTGACAGTTGTCAATCTAAACCTACTAGGATCACGTCACATTACCATAACCGCTTCTACAATTTTTATATCTGGTGTCTTTAAAAAGTTTCTTAAATTTTCTTTAGAACTGTTCACAGTTCAGTCCCTTCGTTCAAATTTTTATTATATTATTTTAATTTTGTACGCCATTTTTCTGTTTCCCGGTGATCTGTCAATCTATTGCAGTATTTCTTTACTCTGCCAAATAGATAGGGTGCGTACCTCTTCGTCAAGCCCAAAATTGTGTGAAGTTACGAACAATGTTGTCTTCGCCATAATTGAAATAAGAAGTTACTTGAAGAAGACGACTGAGGGTGTGATTCAGGCTCTGATAGTTGGGCCCTGCGTATACACGGTCGGGCCATGTCGGGGCTCAACCCTATCGGAGTTCAACCCCAAGGGTTTAGTGAAGCTGAACTTAGCTCGAGCCGTCTCGAGTGAATGCGTATACATGGCTATTTTTGATGGCTCAAGCCGTAGGGCTCAGATAAAACGCTGTCGTGTGAACGTAGCATATATCTATCATTAATTATAGCCTATATTTACCTTCAGTTCAACATCACATTGTGGTGACATAACATTTACATTGATATCATCATCAGATTTGACAGTCGCTTCACTTTTTTCTCTTACAGATGTACTCTGTTGTTCAGGTTCTACAAGATATGAAAAATAAATGTTTACAATAATTATTACTGAATTGTCTGAATTGCTCACTCGGTTTGGGAATATGCAGGTGTATTGCTAAGATACTGTACCCAAAAAAAAATTTTCATTCTTTTTTTTATGTACATTTGTACTTCACATGTTAGGCTTTGAACAATTAAAGTATATACATTTGTATAAAGAAGCAGGATCATGTAGGTACCTAATGCACACAAGGGGCCATATACATGTAGGCACCCGTGGTATTGTGCATGCACCCAAGGCATGTTGGCATCTGCGGGGTCACATCAGCATCTGCGGGGTCACATAGGCATCTGCAGGGGTCACATAGGCACACACGAACGCAATTTTCATTATTTTTGCTGAGAATGGCATGCTTTTATTTCCTAGTGTTTTATATCATAATAAAGCAAGCTTCAGATTTATGATTAGAATTTTCTCAAAAACGTGTTGTTTTCAAATAGTGGATTGATACAAATACAAATTTGGGACTTCATTTTCAAATTGTTGCATACATGAAAGTTTAATGGGCCGGCAGTACAAGACCTGTAGAGGTTGTATTATATGTATGATAATTTTGTGTTAAATGTATAAAAATGAGCACAACAAATGTAGCCATTACATTGTATTCATACAAATGCCAAGCGAAGAAAACTTTTGTCGCCTCTAAAAAAAAAATATATACCAGCGCAATTTTACAAATTTTGATAAAGCTTCATAGCAAATTATGTTCATTTGGATCACAATTAACAAGGAAGTTATAATACATGAAAATATGCACACAAAAAATGGCTTTCAAAGGATTACTAAGCATTATTGAAACAAATAATTGAATACGAATTCCCATCAATCAGACTTTACCTAGATGCACTTTTAACAAATGAAAAGTAAACACCTACTTCTTCAATTTATTGTTACCATAAGAAAAATAGTAAGACTAATTTTTGGATTAAATTGACCTATATTTACATTACTCCTGTGACTATGCATTGTAAACATACCTACACATCATGGTTACATTAATTGCAGAGTAAGTATGTAATCAGTACAATGAATTGAATACTGCAAATGTCAAAGTTGAAGACCCAACTTGCTGGGTTAGGGAAAAATCTACATTCATCAATGATTAATATCGTCTGCT